CTCCTAGTACATGTTGGACCTCTCTGGTCTGGCACCCTAGGGACCAGACTGGTCCCGGATGAGGGATTTTGCCAGACCAGGGGAGGTTGTTTCTGGCCACCTTGTTGTCAGCTCCTACCCCTGCCCTGCCGCCCCATTCCCCTTCTCCTGCAAAGCCCCTTCCCGGCTCCCTCCTCACCCCACGCAGCCTCGCTGGGTCGTGCATTGGCTATTCTGGCCCCCCCACAGCCTGGCTGAGCTGCGTGCAGGGGTTTCCCGTCTCCCACCCCTTCAACTCCAGCTGGGAAGTGCACCAGACTCCCCTTCCTTCCTCCTCCTCCCCCACATTGTCCTGGCTTCTCCCTTTCCCCCTGCATTGCGCCAGGCTCTCAGCCCCGCCCCCAACACCCCACAGCACACGGGGACTCTGCCCCTGGCACTGATGTTGCCGGATCAGAGCGTCCCAGTTTTCAGAGGTGCACACAACCCTTCTTCAGCACCCTGATTCGAGGCCCAATCCAGGGGGTGGTTATTTGCCAATGTTTGTATTCTCCCTCTGTTGACACACTTTCCCACTCTTGGACCTGTCACAGTTCTCGATCAAAGAGACAATCCAGCCAACTTTTCCCTTCCCTCCCCATGACCCTCATGGATACTCATAAGTTCAATTCATATCCCAGTCAAGAGAACCAAATGTGATAAGCGCCTTGAGAGCGTCCTTTTTCTATTTATTATTTTTGGGTCTTTTGTCAGTTGTATTGTTAATTAAAATCAACACTGCTCCTCTGGCTTAAAGTTAGAGACGCCTGACTGGTAAATAAATAACAAAGCCTATTTTAATTAAATGACTTCCAAATTGGCAGTGGGACGTTGGACGGAAATCTGATCTTATTCTGTATCTCATTTAATTGAGATTCAAAGTCTCCATCTGAAAGACACAACCAAGAATTTGTTTGAACCATTGAGTGCTCAAAAGAGGTCAGAGCCTCTGGAGTTGCTGCAGATGTCAAGACATCTGTGGGGGTGTAATCTGGAATTAGACTGAGCTGTGTGACACATGTTAAGGGCCTGATACGGGTTAAGATTATGACTAAAAATGAATATGCAGCGTTTCTCAGTTCTACTGGATCCAGCCGGCAAATATAAAGGATGTATCTAAAATGACTTCCAGGCCTGCCGATAGGGTGGGGAGAAGAGGGCCCCTCTGGTTATGCCTGAGGTCCTGCTCCTTCTAGGATTGTGGAACCAGGCTGCTCCTGACCTTGACCAGGGGCTTGGCTTTTCATTCAGCTCCCGTCCCTCCCCCTCACCTGTGGCAAGAGTTGGTGAAAGTGTGGTGGAAATATTTTGTCAGCTGTAATCTATCTATCTATCTATCTATCTATCTATCTATCTATCTATCTATCTATCTAATAGATATAGATAATTTGTGTCTCAGGTACAAGCTGAAGAAAATTTTCTCTCTGGCACAGAGATTTCTGCTTTTTCCTCCTTTTAATTTTATTTAGAGTTTCATATAAAAGCTTTGGACCAGCAACAGAGCTAGTCTGATTTACATCAGCTGAGGATCTGGCCTGTAAAGGATTCTGTATCCCTGTGATATTTTAGGCACTGATCTGGAAAGTTGCTCCCTGTAGGAGTCATCGAATGCAAAAGGGTTTCATAACAAAATTGTCCTCTTTCTCTTCATTGGAAGGTTTCTCTGAACAAGGCTGCTTTGCTGTGGGACTTGAGGCCTGCTTTTCAGAGGCAGTAGGTAAGTATCCATGGCGCCCACTGAAGTCAGCCATTTTGGTTAGTTTGATGTCCATGCTTTTCTTGACATGTGGGGAACATCTGGGGACTGTCTACACACTGGCCACATAACCCGTAATAGCTATGGAAATGAGAGAAGTCAGAATAGGGAAATGCACGGGGGATTTAAATATCCCCTGCGGGATTTAAATAAACATGGCCGCCGCTTTTTTCCGGCTTGGGGAAAAGCCGGAAAAGAGCGTCCAGACTGGCGCGATCCTCCGGAATAAAGCCCTATTCCGGAGGATCTCTTATTCCTACTTGCAAGATCCTCCGGAATAGGGCTTTATTCCGGAGGATCGCGCCAGTCTGGACGCTCTTTTCTGGCTTTTCCCCAAGCCGGAAAAAAGCGGCGGCCATGTTTATTTAAATCCCGCGGGGGATATTTAAATCCCCCGCGCATTTCCCTATTCTGACTTCTCTCATTTCCATAGCTATTACGGGTTATGTGGCCAGTGTAGACACAGCCCTGGTGACTGCATCCCCTTCCAGACCAACCTTTTGTTCTGTAGCATTCCTTGTACCCACATTGGACTGTACTATCTCCCGCACAGCATCTATTGGAGATGATCCTGGCAAATCCCTCATTTTGGATCATATGATCCCCTTTTCCTCTGAAGTTTCTGACCCCTTTCCTCTGAGATCAGTAACCAGAGCCCTTCCCTTTTGAACAATTGACAAAATGTAGCCCTAAGCAAAAGAAAAGCTAACACTAGCGAAAATGGCGATCGGGGGCTCTTTTCCGGAAAAGCGCATCTACATTGGCCACAGATGCTTTTCCGGAAAAAGGGCTTTTCCAGAAAAGCAGCCTGCCAATGTAGACGCTCCTTTTCCGGAAAAACTGAAAACGGAATAGTATTCCGTTTTAAGCACTTCCGGAAATTCATGCCAGTGTAGACACAGCCGTATTGTTTCTTTTTTCTCCCTTTACAGCTGCACAACTCTGGTGAGTAGCATCCCATGTGGTGTGCGGGGGTGGAGTGTGGGAGGGTTCTACCTCTTAGTTTTTTCTGTTCTGATTAAATCAGTCTTAACATTAACTGATTAAATCAGTCTTAACATTGTGAGCCCTTTCCTCATAAATCACTTCCATTGATGACAATGTCCTCAGTGTGAGTAACAGCTTTACAGTCTGTCCCTAAAATCCAAATTCAGTGCCCTAATATTTAGGTGGCAGTGAAGACACTTCCAACATTGATGGAAACAGATAAGTGATCCATGCAGCCACTTTGTCATAGTAAAACTGGAAAATATGTTGGACCAAGTCTTTGCAGTGTGAAATTCTGCAAGATGTTCAGAAGTTTGAAGGCAGGTGACTGGTTCAGGTAGAAATGTTAACCAGCTGCATTCAGATATGCTCAGTAGGGATGTAAAAAATATGCAAAACCAATAACTGTGTAACCGCTCAAAATTCTATCGGTTACATGGTTAAACGTTTTACGGGGATGGAGGGGTAGGGAGGAAAGGGTGCTGCTCCACCCCACTTCTGGGGTCTTGGCAGCCGGCCCTGCTGCCATGGGCTCCAGGCAACTGAGTTTAACCATTAACAGAAACTGATAAGCATCAGCTTCCTGGTTAAACCGTTAAACGGTGAAATTCTTATGCTAATGCTCAGCCGCTCTTCTATATTGAGCTACCATCAATGCAGTATTATTACTGTGATTCAGTAGCAGAGCTGTGCTCAGTCTCCTTGGCACAGCTGAGCAAACTGGGTCACAGCCTGGCTTAAAATGTTCTTTTCTATAGGTGACTCTGTGTTGTTTCACAAGTCGGTTCTTTGGGGTGCAGTGAGGAAGAGAAAACGATATTGATTACATTGTCTCTGAGGGCCTCCCTAGAATAATGAACAACACTGTTGAAATAGCTGAGGGCATGATCGACACAAGTTTGATCTGGTCAGACTCCAATAGCCTGGTCATCAAAACACTCCTATCTCATTTCTAAGGCTAACAAATATTCTATCACCCGTGATTACATTCCAGGATGATGCACAACTAGGTTAGGTTTCTAATAGGCCCAAGGAAGGCACAAACTTTTGACAAGCAAGCAAATTAAATACAGCTCTCAGAAATATAGTTCCTTATTTATTATTATTTGTAAATTTGATTACAGTTGTACCTTCAAGTCTCAGCCAAGATCAAAGCAGCATGGCACGAGATGCTGTACAAACACACAGTAAGTGACGCTGCTTTAAGGAGCTTGCATTGTGAATACATGAGGTGGACAAAGAGTGGGAAAAGCAATATTATCTGCTTTTTATAAATGGGGAGCTGTCTCACAGAAAGATTAAGTTTGACTTAGCCACAGTCACATTGGAAATCAGCAGCAGAGCCAGGAAATGAATCCAGATATCTTGAGTTCCAGGGCAGCACCTTAACTGCTAGATGATGTTAAGCATAAAATATGCATTTCCTGGTGTAAATGTCTTATTTCTGTTAAAGGAAAGAAGGAACAACTCATATAAAGTCTCCATGAGTGGGAGAGACCAGAGATCACTAATACTCTACACCTGAAGCAAAACACAAACGAGCAACAGTCTGATAGCTGCTCTTGCAAGCAGGTAGCAATTTCTCTTCCTTCAAAAGTGCAGTTCACAGAAAACAGAACAGCAGTGTCCCCTTTTCAATACCTACCCATGGGCACCACAATAGAAATATCCTGAATTTAAAGTCTCGTGATATCTTGGGATCACCAATTTCTAGAAATAAAAGCCTCCTCCCATTGGAAAAGGAGGAGTCCTAAGTTTCTAATGAGTGATATCTCCTTATGCTAGCATCTAGAGTACTAGATGGAGAGTCTGATGTTTTTTAAAGGGGCCCTTAATTTTAGAGGCTCAATTTTAAACACAGCCTGCAGAAGCCATGTCTAAAAAGGAGGCCCAAGCTGTCTCAAATTGGACACCCAGAAACCACGGTACCCAAATTAGTGAAGGAAGGAAGGGAAAACTTCCATGGCACGTTGTGTATTTTGAAAGAAAACGTGGCCGGTATTTGTGGTTGTTCAGGCTGTTCTAATCCATCCTGGTCAATATGAGTGGGCAGCGTGCAGGTGCTGGATGTTGCAAATATCATTGTTTGTACAGCTAGGTTAAGATGATTAGTACAACCGTAATGCCTACTTTAATGGGAAATGGGCACTCAGAAGCTTTTTCGGCAGCTCTTGGGCATATTATTATATGTGTTTTTTTTTTTTTATAGAATCATACAACACTGGAACAGGAAGGGACCTTGAGAGGTCATCAAGTCCAGTCCCCTGCCCTCACGGCAGGACCAAGCACCGTCTAGATCATTTTTTTTAATCTTACAAGGCACAATTCAGCATGAATGAGAAATTGAATTCAAATTCCTCGCTCAGCGGGCCCCACGTGCTGAGTTTCAATGGGACATACAACGTTTCCTATGTGGACTTCTACCTTCATCAGCCTCCCGTGGCAGCAGTCTTTATCATCTCCTACCTCTTCATCTTCCTCCTGTGTATGCTTGGCAACGGAGTGGTTTGCTTCATTGTTCTGAGGAGCAAGCACATGCGAACGGTCACAAACCTCTTCATCTTGAACCTGGCTGTCAGCGACTTGTTGGTGGGGATATTCTGCATGCCCACCACTCTCCTGGACAACATCATAGCAGGTGGGTAGAACTGTAGGTAGGAGCAATCGTGGACATCTTCTGCAGAGTTTGGGCCTCCTGCGGGATGTGCAAATGCTTCAGGCAAAATAAGAGCCAAGAGAAATCTTTACCCAACCTTACCCTGCACTAGCACCCTAAATATAGATCAAGTTCAAGAACATGCACAGCCAGATGTTTGGCCCATGCTTTGGCTTCTGGGCACCAAAAGAACGGTTGAAAGGGGCCAGGAAGCTGACATCATAGTGTGAATAGGATGACCAGCTGTCCTGTTTTTAAAGGGACAGGCCCATATTTGGAAAAAAATTGGAAAGGGTCCAAAAAAGAGCAACAAGAATGATGAAAGGTCTAGAGAACATGACCTATGAAGGAAGGCTGAAAGAATTGGGTTTGTTTAATTTAGAAAAGAGAAGATTGAGGGGGGCCATGATAGCAGTTTTCAGGTATCTAAAAGGGTGTTACAAGGAGGAGGGAGAAAACTTGTTCATCTTGGCCTCTGAGGATAGGACAAGAAGCAATGGGCTTAAACTGCAGCAAGGGAGTTTTAGGTTGGACATTAGGAAAAAGTTCCTAACTGTCAGGGAGGTTAAACACTGGAATAAATTGCCCAGGGAGGTTGTGGAATCCCCATCTCTGGAGATATTGAAGAGTAAGTTAGATAAATGTCTATCAGGGATGGTCTAGACCGTACTTGGCCCTGCCATGAGGTCAGGGGACTGGACTCGATGACCTTTCAAGGTCCCGTCCAGTCCTAGTATTCTATGATTCTATATTTTAGGCCTCCTGCGCGTGTCATGATTTTTCTTTAAAACTGGCAAATTGTCCCGTATTTTCTGTCTTCTCCCCATCAATACTGATGGGTCCTGCTGCTGGCCTGATCCCTGCTCACCAGCTGCCAGCTCACCAGTGGTGAGGGAGGGATGGTCCAGTGGCCGACCGATGGGGGGTGGGCGTGCCAGGCGGGTGGCAGGGCAAACATGCAGCACGCAGGGACAGCTGCTCCCCTCCGCTGGTGCTGTCCCTGCTTCGTGTTGGCTCTTGACCAGCAGGGCCTTGCTCCCTGGCTGCGGTGGTTGGGGAGTGCAGGCGGGTGCCAGGCAGCAGCCAGTTCAGTCTGGCCAGCAGGCTTCTTTCTCCCCCAACTGTCGCTGGCTGGGCTAGTGCCCTGGAAAAGTGCAAGGCCCCCTGGCCAGGAGGGTCCAAACCCTTCATGTGCCAAAGCCCCGCACAGCCCTGGCAGTGGGAGGCCTCTCCTCCCCTCAGAGTAGCAGGCGGGGGGGACAATGTCCAGCCTGTTCTTACCCTGAACCTGCAGGCTCCTCAGCAGCCCTCAGGGCAGAAGCTTTAGCATCCTCTTCACCCACCCGCAGGCCTGAGTCCTGCTCCATCTCTCTGCCGAGAGCCACTTCTGTGGCTGGGTTTGTCGCAGCCCCTGCAGTCCGGTTCCCTGGGCAGTGGCCCTCTATGCATCTGTGATGGGGTGAGGTCATGGACAACCCCTTGGGGGTGATTCCCGGGTGCTAACAAGGCCTGTTTGCTCTCTGGGGCTTCTCACTGCTTGGTCCTCCTCAGGTGTATCCAGACAATCAAAGACAAAAGCCTCCTACCTTCTGATTCTTTTTAAGGAATTCCCTTATTGCAGTGTTTCCCAATTTTATTTGGCCACGGAACCCTTTTCAGCTTAAAATAATTTCAAGGAACCCCCCTAGGGTTCCCAGGGTAAAATTTGGCAAGGAAAAAAAAAAAAAAGCCCTGCCAGAATTGGTTGAGCAAAAAAACCTGCAAAGTACTCTGTCTCTTTAAGAGGGGGCGGGGCAATGCCGCGTTCTCACGGAACCCTTATGTTTGCTTCGCGGAACCCTGGGGTTCCATGTACCACCAATTGGGAAACACTGCCTTATTGCATGGGCAGTCACATGTCTGCTCCCCACCAACCACGGCTAAGACGTACGGACAAAAGGCTATTTGCATAGGATTGCCCAGACACTGAGGCCTCCCCTGATGACTTTCCTTCACACATGTAAACCCCGTGAAGTATTCCCTCCTCCGTAGGTCTAACTTTGCACACAAGAATGATACCTGCACTGAAATAAGATGCACAGACCCAGCGGGTGACGGCATGAAGATTGATCGGTTACAGGAAATCATTTGCTCAAAGCACCTTTTGAGTTCTGTACCTCTATGTCCACACATGCATTTCATAAAGCATAGGGGGGATGTCTGCCACAGCATCCTTAGGGCCTAACCCTTTCCTGCCCACGCTGTAGCGAGGGGACCAGAGGTGGCCAGCAGCAGCCTAGAGACATTAGCTGCCTTTTGACACTGTGCAGGCAGGAAGGGACAAGCTACTTCCAGCTGGGAGCAGTGGCAGGGGGGAAGAGATGAGCTTTGCCCGATCATCCCTCCTCCCTTCCCTCTGCTTCTCCCCTGCAGCTGCAAGCAGCTCCCATCCCTTGCCTCCCTACACAGGGCCAAAAGGCTGCTGCTGGCCACCTGGTGAAAGCCCTGGCAGAAATCTGGGGAGGGGGCCTGTGACCCTGCATTTCCGCCTCCCACATGTTGCCCCAGGAAGATGCTGTGCCAGGTACCAGGAGAGGCGGGTCTGTCCGGGGGGCCCAGCCCGGTGTGGAGAACAGAAACTGCCAGGCAGGAAGGGTTGGGTCAGTCAGACACACCCACCCCATGTGAGAGAGGTGTATAGGAGTGTGTGTGCCATGCCACCTCCTTTGAACTGTAGAGCCTTACAGATAAGAGGGTATATAAAAAGCATCCAACTACGCAGTACTTCCTTGTAACAGGGGCTCAGTCCCTGTGAATGTATGACCGACTGCCATAGAACTAGCTTAATTAGGAGTAATTTTATCAGGTGTCCTGTATTCAGCAGAGGGAACTATAGTCACCCTAAGCATGGGGGTGAGGAGTGTCGGACTACACTTAGCGAGGGTGAACCCCACCCCCACAACGGTAAAAAGTCAGCATAGCTAGCTCTTTGCCACCACTTCCAATTCCCCCTAGGAGAAGGGGAATGTGTGTTGGAGGCAGGAGATAGCATGCCCTGAGGCTACTCAGACTTACAGACTGCCCCCTGGATCAAGAGGGTACAACCCTGGCCTTTTTCCCATCCCTGCTGTGGTCCTGCAGAGAGTGAAGCTTGGCTTTTAGTTCTGGCTTTTAGATCTTTTTGTTGGCTTTTAGATCTGGCCTTTAGTTCAATTTTTCTTCATTATTTTAAAAGTCCTAACCAGAGCTGGGAATGTGAACGTACTGGGGCGAGGCTCCCCCTTTCTGCGCCCAGCTGTGTTAAAGTCCGACATCCTCAGAAAAATCTCACAACAGATTTTGTAAAACTGTTGTAAAATCTCCAATCCACTTTTGCAGCCTCCAGAGCAGCGGTGGGCAACCTGCGGTTTGTGGGTTGCATGCGGCCCATTGGAGTGATCTAATGTTGGACCACGAGAAATATTGCTGCTAGTCACCATCCACAGAACCCAGTCTCCCCCCTCCACACAGCCCCCATTGGCCAGGAACAACAAACCCCAGCCCCTAGGAGCTGCAGGGGGCAGTACCAGTAGACAATCAAAATCAACAAAACGTCTCGTGCCCACAGTCAGATTGGTGGGATGTAAAATCCTGTTTAATCGGTTACTGGTTAAACGACCGATTAAAGGGGGAGCAGGTGCGGGGTGGGGTGGGGTAGGGACTGGGCCAGGCCTGCCATGGACTGGGTTGTATTACTTTTAAGACCTTGAATTATAGATTTTTTTTGTTTGTTTTTAAAGATAAGACCAAGACTTTGTTTTCCAAGCAATCTTTAATTTATGTTTTACCTAAGCACCCACATGCATTTTGGATCTCGGAGGCTGCCATCAATATTTAAAGAATAACTTCATTGCATTGACTTTGGTTTTATTACTATTGATTTTTGCTGTCGGAATATATAAAATACAAGGCATCTTTATCTGATGTTTGCCTTATCTTAACCCATATTGTAGTAGAAGAAGTTTTACCCTGACCATTGACCAACCTTGCTGCTATCGTTAAATGGAAATTTAAAGTATAAAGCCCACCAAAAGGAGCACACACATCTACATTTATCTAACACATCTAAATAAGTTTTTCCCCATATGCCCTCTAAAATGTTTATTTAACATTAATAAAAAATTCCTAATGGTATAACACTCCCCTCCCAAATATTCCTATATTTCTCTCCCACAGGCTCCTAAATGTTATGTATTTCTTCACATAACTTTGAATGATGGGAAATTAGTCCCTTTGGCTCAAGAAGTCTGCTAATTTTGGTGTAATGTTTTGCTTAATGGAAAACACGGCATTTAAGAAACAAGAGAAAACCAAGAAACAAAACATCTTGTAGGCAGTTCATGAAGCTGTGTTTCTTTCTTGTTTTAGATGTAAAGTAAGCAAGTTTAATTCCAGGAGCAAACAAACCCTTTCTTTCAGAGAGGTGTATTACAGTTTAAAAAAAAAAAAAAAAAAAGAGCCAGGGAAAAAAAGTAACGATCAATAGTTTGTGCTTCAAACAGTTACAAGAGATAAAAGTGTTGTTTGTTATTCATTAGACCTCTCATGAAAAATCAGAATGTTTATCAGAAGGAAACATAGATGCAAGGACATAGTGAACATCTCTTTTACCATCTTATTATCATCAGATATCAGGAAAAGAAGGATAGGAAAGTGACGGATGGGAGTTGTGTGGATGACAGATGTTGCAGTTTTTTAGCTTTGTCCTTCAGACAGAGAGAAAACTAAAGACTGGGGAATTTTTTTTCTTGCTCCTTTTTTACTATAAAACATCTCTATAAACGGGGAGGTTATATGCCGAACTGTAGATCTAAAACTTCTCTCTTGGTTCACAAATGCTAAATGTTTAATACAGGTATGACCATCACAGAACTGCTATATATCAAGCTATGAATCATATTTAATGATGATATGAATATTGTAAGTGACCCGGTCAATGAGATAAAGTTGCTGGATAATTATGAAAATTTAGAAAATCCATGCAATATATATCATCACCTCCTATTTATTCCTCTGTTTGCATTTATTTATTTAGATTTGAGTTAGTTGCATAAAAGCATATTTTCCTAAAATATTATTTATTAATGATTTTTAATGAGTCACAGAAGAATATGTTAAATAGAACATTAAAATGCTTTGTTTTTCAAACTGGTCAAATGGCAGTGAAAATGCACACATGCCCCAAAATGACACTTAAGGCACTCTGGAAATTTAGGAAAGATCTGGAAGGGCCTTAAGAGCCATGTACCCAGCTCACTGAATAAAAAGTAAGTGGGAAATGGGAGGTACATGGTGCCTAAAATGATCTTTTGATTGGTGCATTATTGCAGTTTGGGGTGTGGACACCAGCCAGCAAATACATAGTGAAGAATGGTACAGAGTTACTACTACTACTGTTTGCAATCAGTGTTGGGAATTAAGCACGTCCAGGGCAGGTGCAGGAGGCAATCTGTATAAGATCAGCTTCAACACATTCCTTCCTACATCTTCTCCTAATTGTTTTTCTTACTACATTTCTCTTTTCTTCCCTTTGGTGTGTGTGGTTTCCCAGATTAGATGCCATTGCTCTCAGTTATACCGAGTAGACTCTGTTGGTCAAATTCAGAGATGACGTGCAAAGGGCAGGGTGTAAATTGTTGGTATAAGTTTCAGTGATTAACCAAGTGCATGTCTACACAACTGAGCTAAAGCTGAAATAAGCTATGCAACTTCAGCTATGTCAATGCTTGGCTTAAGTTGAAATAGTTTAATTCGGCTTTTGGTGCTGTCTACACAGCAGGAAGTTGAAGGAAGAGCACTCTTCCTCTGACTTCCCTTCCACCTCATTAAATGTCAAAATGACTGCTTGTAGTATAGACATGAACTGTTATTTCAGAATAACTGATGTATTCTAAAATAATACTGCTGTGTAGATGTGCTGAAGTCTAAGGCCACATCTCCCATTGCCACACTGGAGATCTATCTTCGGGCGTTTGATTTAGTGGGTCTAGTAAAGGTGCCCCTTGTTGGCGCTGGTGGTATTCATAGTCATGAGGAGTAAGGAAGCCAATGGGAGTATTTGCGCCTGTCGACCTCCTACTGTGGAGACAGCGCTAACCTTGGCTTATGGTAATAAACGTTCTTGAAGCCAACCGTCTGGGTCTAGTATAGACCTGGCCTGAGTAATTCTAATGGTGTCAAAACTGATACATACTGTGGGGAGCCAGGAGGAGGTGAAAGCTAAACCTAGGTAAGGTGAAGTCCCGGATTTATATGGAAAGCATGTGAGACCTTTGTAGTAATAATATCTAGCTCCCTTTCCTCTCAGATGTTGCTGTTTTAAGTGCTAATGCTTCAGATGCAGATGTGCTGCTTTCAGGATCATCAGAAGAACAATTTGGGCCGAACTCTGATGTCATCTCTGTCCCCTTTTGTTACCTTGTGGTGGGTCACTGTGCACCATCATTCACCTGCGCTGGGACAGCATGGTGCCTGTGGGTGGCACCTCAGCCCTGGGAGTGAACCATCAGTGTTCGAACCGTCAGTGTTGGAAGTGAAATGGAGGCAGCTAACCTGTCTGGGGCTATTTGTACCTTCCAGGGTGGCCCTTTGGGAGCACGGTCTGCAAAATGAGCGGGATGGTCCAAGGAATCTCTGTCTCCGCCTCTGTTTTCACTTTGGTTGCAATTGCAGTTGACAGGTAAGATGACGTAACGATCTGAAACCAATTATTCACTTGAAAAAAACAATCTGTTGCTCGTCATCCCCGGGCCGCCAAGCATTTTTACGATTACTGAGTCACCCACACTGCACTGAGGTAGGGAGTATTCTCGTTTCATGGATGGACCAGATGAGACACACGTAAGTTAAAGTGCGCCCATCACCCTCTTTTCTGACTTATTTTCCATTCAAATGGTAGAGGACCCTGGGTGTGTGTCCAGCTCTCCCATCTCTTTCTTGCAGAGCTGAGAATAACGGTTTGTATTCTGAGTCTGGGGCCCTCTGATCTGCTACTGAGAGAGAGGGAAGAAGAGAAAAGCCGGTGGGTCCCCATCCCCCAGCAGAGCAGGGAATTCACCCATCCCTTTCTGGAGAGAATGCCCTGGGGGCACTGGCGGATCCTGTGTCTGCTACTCTCTGTTTAGGTGGCAGATCAAAGCAGCAGTAGGAGGGAAGGCAATTCAGTGCTGAGGCCCAAGATCACAAGGCTTAGCTTGCTGGGGACTCTAAAGAGCTCCTTCTCCCCCTTCACTCTGCCCATTTTTTATGAAGAATGTGTGTTTTCTCCCATCCGCCAGCCAGGATACTGTTGGACCCTCCTGGGGCTAGAGGGGATGTTATAAATGCTCTTTCCCAGCCTCTACACCAGCCAATTCAATACTATGGGGAGGCTTTTTCTCAGAAGACCCTTGGGGGATGGTGAGATAGCTAGCTGCTTTGCCTCATCTCAGTTTGGGAGCAGGGGTATTTTCTCCCCCTTCCTTCTCTGGATTTCCTAAGAGCGTGAGGGATGAATAAAGCTGCTTTCTTCTCCATTTGACTCTGCCCTTGGCCTTCTTTGAAGTAACTGCTGTCCCTTCCAGCAGCTTCTGCCAGCCCCACTGCTGTGGCGCCATAGGAGCCTGCCTAAGCGAGGGGCAGGGAAGGGAAACAAGAGGAGGGAGTCGGTCAAGGCCCTATGGGTTCAAAATTAGCATAAAATTAACTTTTTTTTTTAAACGGAAGATTGGCCAGTTTGCTGAGTCTGACCCTCTTGTTTATGGCAAACTGTGGACTGTGTGACATCATACGTTCCTGGTGACCTGCAGGTGTGTGGGGAGAGAGAGCTCAGTGGCTTGAACATTAGCCTACTAAACCTGGAATTGCAAGCTCAATCCTTGAGCGGGGCAATTTAGGGATCTGGGGTAAATCTGCCAGGGATGGTACTTGGTACTGCTGTGAGGGCAGGGGACATGATGACCTCACAAGGTCCCTTCCAGGTCCATGAGATGGTATATCTCCATATGATTATTTTATAACCAATGGGTCACATGGTGCCGGCTCCTGCTTCTTAACATCCAGCAGCCAAATTACACTGAGACACCTAAAAATGCATGAAATACTTTCCTAATGCCATTGTTCCCTGCGAGCAGCTACTGTAGTTGCCACTGGTCATTGGGCAGGGAGGTGGCCCAGCCAGTAATGAATGGGAGGGGACCTGTCATTGAGGCAATTTCTCTACTGAGATATGAGCCAAAATTTGAGGACCCCCTTGTTACAAGATCTAGTTACACAACTCCTTTTAACGTCAGCAGAGCTACCCTTGACTGCCCATAGGTATTTCTTAGGCTTAAAATAAATGATCAAACTGGGTTTTATGGACACTGCTTTTAGATTTGGTCTCTGGCCTTTCGTCTCCTCCCTACAGGTTCCGATGCATTGTTTACCCGTTTAAACAGAAGCTCACCATATCAACGGCAATTGTCATTATAGCCGTCATCTGGGTTCTCGCTATCGCCATCATGTGTCCGTCGGCTGTCATGTTGCAGGTAAAAGAGGAAAAATATTTCCGGGTGATCCTGAGCTCAAGCAGTCAAACCAGCCCTATATACTGGTGCCAGGAGGACTGGCCCAACCAGGAAATGAGAAAGATCTATACAACTGTGCTGTTTACCAACATCTATCTGGCTCCCCTTTCACTCATCGTCATTATGTATGCCAGGATAGGGATCGCTCTCTTCAACAGAGCGGCGCCTGTAGCGGGGAAACAGAGCCAGGAGCAGCGCCACTCTGTGTCCAAGAAGAAGCAGAAAGTGGTCAAAATGCTTATCATTGTGGCTTTGCTTTTCATCCTCTCCTGGCTTCCCTTGTGGACTTTGATGATGCTCTCAGACTACGCCAATCTGACCGAGGTCCAACTGCAGGTCATCAACATTTACATCTACCCCTTTGCTCACTGGCTGGCCTTCTTCAACAGCAGCATCAACCCCATCATCTATGGCTTCTTCAATGAGAACTTCCGCCGGGGCTTCCAAGCGGCCTTTAAGCTTCAGCTGTGCTCTGGGGAAATGATGCGCCGGGAATTCTACTCTCAGCGGGGTCAGAGCAATGCCGTCTTACCGGCCACCACCCACCAGCTACTGGAAAGCCAGCCGTCTCAAAATGCCCAAGAAGAGGGGAAGCCAGTTCAGAGAGGGAACTGGATGAACAAGCCGCAGGCCTTGATGATGGAAGACCTCGAGAAGGCAGCCAGCGACAATGGAGTAAAATGAGATTTGCTGTGAACTAATGAACTGGTTTATTCCCAGCTTCCCTTGGCAGAGTTTATCGGAGGTGTTGTGAGGGTCATGCTAGTTAAGCCCTCTCTGGCAAAAACAAAACATTTTAAAACGTTGTTGTTGTTATTGTAAAGTATGTAGAATGTGTATAATATCGGATCACTCGGACCTAATGAGGCCTAATTCTGCTCCCTTTTAGATCAGGAGCTACTCCATTGATGTCAGTGGCATCCCACAAGCATAAACCTGGTATGAGACCATGGATTTAAATACACATTGGTGTGTTGGGGAGCAGAATCGGGCCTGTTTTGGTTTAGTTTGAGACTGTTCTCAGAATAGGTGACACAGGGTTACATACAGTGTTGTTAGAAAAGTGTCAGAGCATGTAATGCTGTTTGCTATTAATCCATGCACCGGTTTTGTCACAGTAGACTCTGAAGAGGTTATTAATTTTTGTAATATCCACTCGGGCTTTGGGGGTTTGGACCGGGTGAGAATCATGGAATGATTCTGCTGGCACATTTTCATTAGCCAATTTTGGACACTATCAAAATTGTATTCTGCAAATTAGCAGCATGGTTTATAAGACTAATGAAAAATCGTCCACTTTTATTTGAACGGTGCCCGTTTATTAAAGTGAGGATAACCTGATAAACCGTCATATTTTAAAGTTAGCTGTTAAATTCACTTCATTTATTAGGATCCCTTCCCCGTACCGTTGTTTTATATTCATTGCTCAGACATAATAGCCTGTTCATGAAATTATTCATTGTGCTATGCTACCATTGCCATTAATTCACATGTTAGAGATTTGCTTAATAGACTAGCATTAATGTTTTAATACCTCTGGATGTAGAATATCGTGCCGCCCAGCTTCCAGGAAAATGTGTAATTTGTATTCACATTGCTTTTAGCCTGGATATTTTGTATGCTGCCTGTTTTCTTGGTTTTTTTTTTTTTTTTTTTTTTTTTTTAAAGTATATGCCTGCTTGAACTGGTATAAAATATGCAGCTACTATGCCTTTTCATTTGTTCCCCTTTTCGGCTGCTCCTTTTGTTAATTTTGTGACTGGACTGTCATTTCAGCATATCTGTTGCTCAGTCTGAGAAATAAAAAGGATTAAGGATGTGAAAAAGAAAAGCTGTTTTTATGCTACCATTTTGGTGGGTTCTCAGAATCATGTTCTGTTTTTTTCCCAAATCTTTGATAAAGAAATATCTTACCAGTATATTGTGTCAAGCATCTAAGTTGCACATTTCGATGATAACTGTACTAGATATCATGACATCAGTGCTCCACCAAGAGACAGGAGTATTTTAAGGTTCCTGTCCTCCAATCAATCGGGCACAGACTTCCATCTACACAGAACTTCACTGGAGTCCAAGCACTTAAACGTCTGAAGTCATTGAGGTTCCAGATAAGTGCAGGGGTCCATCCACACAAAGCAAACATGGTGAAGGCCTATGGGATAATATAGTATCCACCTGTCAATGCAAGATTGTTCACAACAGTTTGTCCTGGGTGGAATATTCATCACAATATGTGTTTTGGATGGAACTTGACTGTTTTTAGTTCATGGAAACTCCGTGCCGCTAACTGGAGTTTCATAAAGTTTCAGGACAATCCAGCTCAAGTTCACATAAAACATTTTTCTACCATTTGCTTTGGGGTTTGTTTGGGTTTTTTTTGAGGGGCAAGAGAGTGGGGGTAAAACAGCACTTGGGGATTTTGAAGAAAAAGCAGCAGCAGCTCTCATTTTGCAGGTAAGATTTCATGAGACATTATTCCTAAGGCTAGGATTTTCAAAGGAGCCAATAGGATTTGGCTGTCTGACACCCTTAGGGTCCTTTGAAAACCTCAGCATAAAGGCTTGACTGAAATCCACCTATTAAGACCCAGATTCTCATCTTTACCTAGTCATTCATTAATTCAGTGTAACTTAAGTGGGTAAATGCCTCTGAGGGTCTGGTCTTATGAGTCTATGGATCTTATGAGCCTATTTAAATATCCTGTGCTTCATTTGCATAATCACATAATGGTGCTCTTTCAAAAAAGCGCTATTTTGAAATTGAAACCGCAGTCTAGACAAGGCGCTTTTTCGAAAGATCCTGTAAACCGTCTAGACTGCGGTTTCAATTTTGAAATAGCGCTTTTTCGAAAGAGTGCCATTATGTGATTATGCAAATGAAGCATGGGATATTTAAATCCCCGCTTCATTTGCACTTTCAAAGTACTTCATTTACATCCCTCTGCCGACAGAGGGATGTAATCTAGACACACCCCCACTGTACTTTTAAACAAGGGGCTGCGGTTTCTTTGGCATAATTTGGTCTTTCTGGATTCTGCAGGCATACGCCTTTATAGTCTACAGGCCAAATTAAAGTTGGCTCCGTGTGAGCTGTTTGCTTGTGGACTGGTTCCCATTCTCCGAGTCATCCATTCACAAACGTGGAGCACACGATATCGGGAAGACAGCCGTTTCAGGTGAGAAATCCCCTGAGCTTGATAAGTTTCTCACCCTGTTTGTAATTATTATACCTGAAAATGTCCAAATTATTCAACATGTGTCCAAAAAACTAGAGTAAGAGCCTGATTTAAAGCAGTATTGTTGTCTACCAGCGGGGCAGACAGATAAATGACATTATCAAAGGGAAATACAAACTCTATGCCCTTCAAAACTCTGATCATTGTGCTCAGTTTAATGGTATAAACCTTTCAGGCCTACATGGATTAATACGGCTACATTTTGATATAAGAATGACATTCAATAAGCTAATAATTGAGGCAAATATTGTAGTGGGGTTTTTTTTTCCACCCAAGACCTTTTGTTACAAGCTTGTCCTTGAATAAGGCAGTGATGCAGCAAAGCATTTAAGTACATGTTGAATTTTTAGTATATTCTGAAGAGCTTTGCTGAAAACTGTGGCAGATTTAAGCATGTGCTCAAAGGTAAGTCTAATTGAAGTCAACAGCACATGCTTCACTGAATCAGAGCCTAAAAAACAGATGCTGACTGCTATGTTTGCCCTTCATTAAAGGACAAAATTGACAAAGTACATAGCATCTTCTGCTAAAGAGACCTGCCCATAGAAAGGGCACTCTGGTTTATGAAGGATTTTGATATTTCAAAATCTGGCTTGGTTTTGAATTGGAACCGAACTTGAAAATTTAGAAATTCTGCATAAAGGAATATTTCCCCCCAAAATGTCCATCCCACACTGGGCCTGAACAGGCAATATGGGCCAGTTAACACCATGACAGGATGGAGGGGTGCCAAGGACTGACAAGCTCTAATGTCTGATGAAGCCCAGCCATGGAAGGAGATGGGAGAGGCCTATAAAGAGAGGAAGTTGGTAACACAAGAGGGAATCCCTGTAGTCACTCCTAGAAAGGACTATAGTCAGCTATGTACAAGGAGGAGCTCTAGGTTGAGAGTAATATGCCTTGAGATCTGGTCTTGGACTATAGACTCTAGCAAAAGTCTGAACTGAGGTGAAGTAGCTACATGGAGCCAAGGATGCGCCCATAGTAACCTAGGGTGGAGCCAGAAGATATGAAAGAAAGTTAGGAAAGAGCGCAGGGAAACCGCATCAAGGTCAGAAACTGAGTAGACTGTATGCCCAGTAGCCAGAGTCCCGGGGCTAGAACCTGGAGGAATGGACAGGCCAGCGTTCCCCTAAAGGCTAGACTGGGCAGTGCATTAGGAGGCTGTCTGAGAGAGTTTTCCAGTGGGACTTTGTTACCCCATAAGAAGAGGATGATAGTGACTGGACAGGAGGACTGTGTCATGAAGAGACAGCGACCAATTCCAGAGAGAGAGAGAGAGAGAGAGACTCTCTTTCTCTTACTCACTCACTCACTCTGTGGTGAGCAACCAAAGGAGGGGTGTCAGACCAGCTGAGACATATTCCTCAGATGAGCCTAAAGGAAAAATCTGATTGGTGAGTATTAAACCAATCCTAGAACGATTAAAACATTTAATTTCTAATGTAATACAATTTTAAAAATAGAAACGAAGTCATTTCAAATGGAAAAACGGAAACATTTTTTGGACATTGCTGTAACTTTTTGATGTTTGTTTGTCCCATACATTTTGTGAAAACATGCCTTTGTGAAGCACTTTAAGTTGCAACGGAGTTGTATTTTCAGATCAGCTCCACAAAAAAGGAATATTCCCATTGCAGAGTCACACATCTGGCCTGTTTTACTGCTGATACCTCAGGGCACAATTAATTATGTCGCATTCTGATTTATTTTTTTTCAATTCAGGTAGCGGTGAATTTGCATGCTTGATTACATAATCAATACCATGCAGTCTGAATTAATTGCTATGTAGACCTGAGAACATCTTCAGTAGATAGTAAACATATTAACGATAAAACTCAAGTACTTAATGGATTTTAATTATCAAAGGATGAATGGGTGGGCACACATCTTAACTCCAACGAACACCTGTTCTGAGGTGGTGCTGAGTTTTGATTATTATTTTAAGACTCTTTCTAGAGAACCAATCTTCCGTTCAATGAAATCACAGAAGTTTTACCACTGACTTCAGCGAAAGTATAATCAGGTCCTAGACATCTGGCCTTGCAATATATTATGGACAAGATTCTCAGAAGTTGGGGTCCAAAAGTAGGTGGCTTAATCCACATTAAGTCTCTAAATAGGTGGCCTGGTTTTCCAAAGAGCTGAGCATCCTTCAGTAGCAAAATTCTGACTGTTCAGGAACAATGATTTGCTTTAGGCTTCTCTCTGGTATTTAATAACTAATGATTCTATGCCAAGTGGATTGTCCCATTTCTCATTCACACCCTGGGCTCCTTTTTGTTACCAAACATACATTGGGAGTTAATTCAACATAATTCCTTGGTTGTTCTCTGAGGCTACATCTAAGGCTACATTCCTCTGTCGGCAGAGAGACGTAAATGAAGCACTTCGAAAGTGCAAATGAAGCAAAGATTTAAATATCCTGTGCATCGTTTGCATAATCACATAATGGCACTCTTTCGAAAAAGCGCTATTTTGAAATTGAAACCGCAGTCTAGATGCGGTTCTTTCGAAAATGGGGTGCCTGTTCCTGAGGTTTACAGGATCTTTCGAAAAAGCACCCTGTTTTCGAAAGAACCGCATCTAGACTGCGGTTTCAATTTTGAAATAGCGCTTTTTCAAAAAAGAGCCATTACGTGATTATGAAATGAAGCGCGGGATACTTAAATCCTGGCTTCATTTGCACTTTTGAAGTGTTTTATTTACATCTCTCTGTCGATAGGGGGATGTCGACTAGACACACCCTGAAGTTTAGAGTAAGAGTTTCTCGCTAACATTGAGTTACAAGCCCACAAATGAGAGGACTTCTCACCTCTAAGTATACCAATCTAGCTATCCTTTAATCACTGAGGCTTCGTCTTCACTGCCAGTTCTTCCGGCAAAAAATATGCTAATGAGGGACTCATTCACATAAGTTGTGATCTCATTAGCATATGTTCTGCCGCAAAAACTGGCAGTGTAGACATGGCCTGAGAATAAAGCGATAAATGTTTAATTGCAGTATGCATGACTTACATTTGCTAAGGTGTTAATAAGTGGGATTAGAAACACAATGTTTCGCTGCCAATGGTCACATAAATCATGGTAGTTTATCTTCTAGCATCTGACTGTAGCTAGAGAATACCCCTCCCCCAAATAAGGTTGTGACAGTGATGCCTAAAATGCCCACGTTATGAAGCTGTGGGAAGCGCTCTGCACTGCTGAAAAATTTAGGACTCAGTTCCCAATGCTGGGAGCAGAACCTTCCCCTCCTCTCTTTCCAAAGAGCCTCCCTGAACGCTTGGGTCTCTGTTTAACACCGAACTACAGATTTCAGTGATGTACCTTAGGCACCCACGTTTGGCCTAGTCCTAGTTCTATTTGCCTTGGGTCACTATTTTTATTTTAAAAAGCCACCTGTAGCCAATTTAAAGAGGCACTGAACTCTAACTGCCTAAGCTGTTCAAAGGAATGGCATGGTGCTTGATTTTAGGATGATTACTTTTTCATTTTTATGATGTTTCATTTCACTTCATCGTTGCGTGCTGGCGGTTTGACAAAGCAGAGTGGAATGGCTGAGCTATTGAGTTAGCGCTAAAACGGGTATTACTATAAACCTTCCAGAAAGGTATATTACCCTCCTATGCACCTTTGAAAAGAAAGTCGATTTAGGATGGAAGATAAAACGCAGGAATTCAATAGAATTCACACAAACAGAACTCCATAGCCATTATCCCCCTATTAGGCGTTTGTTTTTTGGCAGAGTGCAACCACAATAAATGCAAAATTTAACACACAGCAAGGCATGTATCCTGCAGCAAGAAGCTTGTAGACTGACA